TTGACACATGTGTCTTTGGAAGAACCCTGGCCGATTTTGTCCTCTATATTCTCTCTCAAATCATTCTCTTTGCTAGTTGGTGTTTGTAAGCCATTAGAGGAGTGACAATTGTGACTCTGGAGCTCTAAGAACAAGAAGATCAAACAAGTGGTTCAAAGTAAGCTTCTATCTCTATTTTTGTATTGTTCTTATACCTTATTAGTCATTAGAAGTCTTGGATTCAATGCATGTTTAATTAGAGAAACATAGATACAAGCATTAAGGTTTGCATGTGCACATAGGAATGTTCATATGGCCAAAACCCATCAAATAGTGTTTAGGACCATTAGATATTTATGTTGTAACAATGTTATATATTGATTATGACATCCTTAGAGTTTTTGTATTTTGAAACATCTATACTCAAAGATATTTTAATAAAACGAAATAGTTTCTTCAAAATTTTTTATTATACTAGATTTTCCGCAAACAAAAATACTATGCTTTTAAATCGTAAAGAAATATTTTTTTGTTCCAGAAAATAGGGGATGTCACATAGATACAAATAGTAAGTTTCAAGTTATACTCAATACAAAAAAATATTATTAAGACTTAAACAATAACCGCTTTCTAAAATGTAATGAAGGTATGTTTAAGTCTTTGTCATTCCCAACTTTATTTGCTATTCGATTTCAATAAAGTTTTCAGATTATATGGAACCCATGTAATGAAATAGATGCATGTACCATGGAGCCAAAATAAACCCACCATGTATTTTTAGGGGCATCAAGATTAAGGGACTTATAAATCATAAAGTATTGGTGTTACATTTCTTCACAAGCCATTTTTGAAGTTAGGACAATCCGTTGACTATGTCGTTTCTTATAATAGATTATCCACCAGGTTTATTGTTGGTAGGGGTGTAATTGAGTCAAGTCGCATCAAGCACTGCCAAGCTTGAAACTTTACTCAACTAAAAAACTCGATCTCAAAACTCGACCCGTGCCTTAATTTCAAGCTCGAGCTCGATAAAGTAACCGAGACGTTCGAACTCGGCTCAAATCAACTTGATTAGCTATTAGAAAAATAAAATTACATTAAATTACAATAGAAATTAGATTAAGATCGTAAGCTCGACTCTATAATATATATATATATATATATATATATATATATATATATATATTAATAAAACAAAGGGTAAAAGTGTAACTACAACAATGTTCGATTAAGCTTGTGGGTTTCACGAGCCGAGTATTCCATTACTCAAGCTCGAATCGATAATGTACTTGAGTAGCTCGAGCTCGATCGACTCAACTTGAACTGATTCGATTTCGAGTCGGTCTTGAGTATTTCACGAGTTATCTCAACTCAATTACACTCCTAATTGTCAGGCTTACTTTTACTTTCACTTGAATTTTGACATTTACTCTTTATATTTTCAATAACACAAGCATTACCATTTCTTTTAATGAGATTCAAGTGTCTTAACTAGATGTATGCAGAAAAGACAATAATATGATTTTAATAGGATAACAAAAATTAAATTGTATAAATATACCTATTATTAACACCAATATAATAGGTCCTATAGACACCTTATTCAAGTGTTTCTTTTGCTTTGGCTAGACAATCAATTGAATATTATAGCGTCCTAATTATTATTCTATGCTACATAGATATTTGTGATATCCCGAAATTTAGATCAAAGTCTGTAAACAGTCAATTCACAATAAATCTCTTGGTAATTTGACTCATTGAGTTTTAGTGCATCTTATGTAAAATAAATGAGTTCATTACAATTATTATAAGATACCAGATGGTATCTTACTTCCAAATATGTAATCTGTCAAACAAATCAAACAACTAAAACTGCAACCATAGTAATGCGTCTGAAAAACTGAAATTTCGTATTAAGTAGTTGTGAGCAATACAAACACTCTAGTCTCGTAGTATGTGTTTCCCTAATTCCTAAAATATAAAGAATGTACAAAACGGAGTTCGTATGCAAAATATATGACTGCTTTAAGAATCCAAAACCAATATAATACTGATTTTCCTAAAATCGCTAAAACCATTTTATCCATTGAGGGACTTGCACACCTCAGATGGAAATCCCGAAAGCATTTTTGGACTCAGGATATAGCCTAATATTTAATTTCATATTTGAAATATTTTAGTAAAAATATTTATATAAATTAGACGTTTTGGAATCATTTAACCATAGTATATATAACATTACCCATTTTGGTACCATGATTTATACATTTTGACTTGAATGTTCAACCATGTATTTTTGTTTAAAATACATGATAAATTATTTAAAACAATAAGTTAATACATACATAAATACATGTATGAAATGCACCTTATTATCTAAATACTTATACATGTGTGTATAACTAGTATAATCCAAAGAGTGTATACTTGGCTAAAAAATTAATAAATATAAACTGCATTTTACTTATACACAAAATAACTTTAAATTGTAAAACAAAAAATCATTTATTTTATATCTCAAATCTTGATAAACAAATCCTTTATAATAAATGAAAGTTTTTTTTTTTTTTGCCACTTGCCACTTTATCAAAACTTTTGTTACATGCTATTATATGAAATTTTACAATTATTATTTAAATTCCACATATCATTATGTGATATCTTTGTTTTTTATTAATCAATAATAAATTCCACTAATTAATGAGTTTACTATTATATATATAAAATATTCATTCTATTTAAATGTTTATTAATTTACAAATATATTTGAATTCAAATGGATGCTCTAATGATACAATTAATGTCGTGTATTTGATGATATATTTGAATTCAAAACATCCCTTTAATTTTTTGGAATTTTAATTTGAATTCTAACAAATTTATTATTTATTCAAATGTTATAAATAAATATGTGTGGATAATACATCTCTATCTATAACATAAAAAATAAAAAAAAACATCTTCAAAGATGTATTTGAAAATTTTGATTCATAACAACTATTTACAATATGTTAATAATTTTTTATTAGTATAGATTCAATAACTACTATTTCATCATTTCGTTTGTATTTATTTCGAAAGTTAATTTAAAAAATATTTAATATTTACATCTTAATTTTCAACATCATTATTTAAAATATATCAATAGTTTTTTATTAGTATAGATTGAATTACTTACTTATTCAATATATCGTTCGCATTTATGTAAAAGTATTTTTTTAAAAAATATTTAATATTTATAAATTGATATTAAACTTTTATTTAATATCAATAGTTTTATTTCGAAAGTTAATTTAAAAAATATTTAATATTTACACCTTAATTTTCAACATCATTATTTAAAATATATCAATAGTTTTTTATTAGTATAGATTGAATTACTTACTTATTCAATATATCGTTTGCATTTATGTAAAAGTATTTTTTTTAAAAATATTTCATATTTATAAATTGATATTAAACTTTTATTTTAATAAACTCGTGTAGTACACGTGTGTCACCTACTCGTCTGTAATAAATGAAAGTTTTTTTTGCTACATGTCACTTTGTCATGAATTATGACACTTGACATTTTATGATGTTTTTGAGTTTAATAAAATTCACATGTCATTTTCTTGTATTTATCAATTTTATTTAAAAATGCCACCTAATTATGTATTTATGGGGATTTATATTCGATATTGTTAGCCTAAAATTATACTACTATTTGACATTCAAATTCACATATATTCCATTTTATCAAAAACTTTCTAGTGTATCTATATATGTTATTCGGATTTAAAATTATGTTACTAACATACTTTTTTCTATATTTGTTTTGGGCAATTACTAATCTAGCCAAATTAAGGAAGTCATTAGCAATTTATAGCTAAAAAGTTAGTAAATGTCCAAATATAACCCACGAAACCGTAGGTTTCGATATTCGTCTACTGTTTCGCCAAATCGTCTACTGTTTCGTGTTTTGTATAATTTTTTTTTTTCATTTTTAGGATACAAAAACGTAGGTTTTTTTAAGACCTACGGTTTCTCTCGAAACCTACAGTTTCCCAAACCGTAGCTATGATTTTAGTTGAAAAATACGTTTTTTTAATTATTTTTAAAATTTTTTAAATCTACTGTTTTGGGGGTTTTAACTATAAAAAAGGGAAACGGTAGGTTTTAACAAATCTACGGTTTTGTATCCTAAAAATGAAAATTTTTTTTTATACAAAACACGAAACAATAGACAATTTGGCGAAATAGTAGTCAACCTACAATTGACTACTCTTTTGTGGACTATTTTTAGCTAAGTGGTTTTTTTTTGCAATTTTTTGATAATAATTAAGTATTTTCGCTAGATTTGTATTTTCCCCTATTTTTTTTTTAGATTTTTTGTTCTTTATTTTCTTATTTTCCAAATAAAATTTGTTTAAACATCTTTTTAAGAATAATAAAAAATACAAGTTATTAGAAAACTAAATTATTTCATTATAAATATTTTAAATAAAACATTTGTATTACTATGTATGAATAAAGTTTTTTTATATTAAAATTCATATTTTATAATACGACATAACGATTTTATCTTTAATCTTTAGTTTAACTAAAACACATTGTTTTAATATTTATATTGATATTGAACTTTTATGCGATTCCAAATCTTCGCCTCACTCTCTATCCCCTTTTCTCACATAAACAGATACACACATAGTCACTAAATGCACGTGATTTTAGAGGATCTTTGTAGTCCTCTCAAATCTTGATAAACAAATCATATTGTACGCAAAGATCAACCCAAATTTGTCCAAAATCTATTAGAGATGATAGTTGCAGCTGGCAATGACACTTCCCAACTCCCACACGCAATCTCTCTCAGTCGACAAGAAAAACGGAAAAAACGGACGGAAGGAGGACTGCCAACTCCCACTCACCACCGTACCATCCTCTTCCTTCCCCTTTGACAGTCGATAAGAAACCCACAAACACCCCCTTTTTGCTGCTACCGGCGACGAGGAGTAGACCCAAAAGGGACTCGCCGGAATTCAGTTGTCCCATCCACCACTTCCCGTCGATTTAACCAGCCAAACACCCCTGAAGACCATTGTTGTTGCTGCTTCATCTTTCCCATTCAATCCAGCTTCTTCCCACCTGCATTTGTCAAGACTATCAAGCCATAAATTGCATGTTCACCACCCCTACAACCCGTTTCCTGTGAACAAACAAACAAAATCCCCCAAAAGAAACTTTTACCCGTTATTGATCGGAACTGCCACCGTTGCCCTAACGATTTCCGACCAGCCATCGTCACCTCTCGCACATCTCCCCTTCTTCGGTCGAGCAAAATCCACCAAATCCCCCACCTGCTGCCCTATTTCCACCATCGAATTCCAGAAACCCCCTCGCATCCCTCTTGGTCTCCACTTTCCTTCGCCGATTTCACAGTAGGTCCAAACCAACCCTGCCGTCGCTGACTGCTTTGACCCATCGGACCCTTCCCTCTTTCGCATCTCAAAGCCAGACGAGGACGAAAGAAGCCTCGCTGCTTCTCCCCATCTTCTTTCTTCGCATCGACAAACCCCGGAGATGAACCTTCTCGCGGTCGATCGACGAAATCACACCTGCGAGCCTTCGTGTTCTCCCCTCTCGCTGTGTTCGTACATTGCTTTCGTTCCCGTTCGTTCTCCATTGACCCTTCGGTTTGAAGAAGACGACGCCTCTTGTTGGATCCCTTTTGATCGACTGGAACAAGTCGAGACTTTGAGACTTCGACCTAAAGAAAAACGTGTTTTTGATTTTGACCAAGTCAAAATCAAAGGGAATCAAAGCTTGAATTCAAATTACTCAAAATTGACCCTCATTGACAAAGCATTGAGAAATCAGTCCCAAACCCTAAATATTGGACCCATTTATTCACAAAAAGCCCCTCCTTGTTTATTTTTGGCTATAATTTATTTGGTTTATGAAAAATAGTTACAAATTTCTAACTAGTTTATACTATGTTATTTTATTAAATTACACCTCATTGGCAAATAAGCTACATATCACATGTCATATAGATGAATTATAGTTGTTATTATGATATTACAACTAATAAAAATGATATATCATTCTACTACAAAGTGCTATGACTTTTTATGTATAAAAAGTTTTTCATAAAACATGTGTCGTACTCGGTTAGCAACTCTATAGTATTCAACATTACAGCGTGCTTACATATATGTATATAGGTATATATACAAGCTATAAAGCTTGTATCCTAGGTTCTAACATGTATTACTGTACACTCCCATAAGATTTGTCAGCTGTTTAAACGAATATCATGTATTGTTATAGGGCCCAATTTTTTTCATTATATATTTTTATTTAAAAATACAAAATTATAATAAAGATAAATGCTATTTTTTTCTTATTCGTCCTCGGCCTTTAAGAATATTTCATTTTTCAGGACCGGCACTGATACATTCGTATACTTTAGTTAATGGCCCTTATAGTATAACTTTTTAAAATAATTTTATCCGTATCGATGGTTGCTAACTACAACCCTGATAGATAACCATATCCGTTTATTTGTATCTGCGGTTGGTAACTACAACCCTAGCAGATAATTATATCCGTTTATTCGTATATGTGGTTGCTAACTACAACCTTGGCAGATAATTATATCAGTTTATCCATATCTGCGGTTGCTAACTACAATCCTGGCAGAAAATTATATTCGTTTATCTGTACCTGTAATTGCTAACTACAACCCTGACAGTTAATTATATCCATTTATCCGTATCTATGGTTGCTAACTACAACCTTGTGTAACGTCCTAAACATTTCAATTTTAATTTAAATAAAACGATATTCCAAAAACATTATTCATACAACCCAAATGAAAATAAGTGTATTTAACATCATAACAGTCAGAGTAAATATCTCAAAAGCGGAATCCATGTGGTGTGTGCGATGCATTCATCTCGAGCTCCTCCTCTTGGAAATAGAAATACCTGAAATATAAATTGAAAACCGTAAGCACAAAGTTTAGTGAGTTTCCTAAACTACCCTATACCATACATAATAAATCACATATTGGGCCCCCTCTGTACATCGGGCTCCGCTCGATATACAAATTTATTATTCTTAGGCCCCGCCTGACATCGGGCCCTGCCCACTATACACATATAATACATATCACATAATCATGCTAGCATATACAATGATCATAAACAATAGCATACGATTCAACCATCAGGCCTCGCTCGACATCGATCCCCGCCCAATATACATAGCAACAGATAACACATGCAAGGGTCACACAGTGTAACAACCGGTTATTTCGAGTCAATAAAAGTCAAACCAAAGTCAAGTAAGCCAAACAAAAAGCCAAATAGTTAAAAATTAAATCATGAAAACTCACTTTGCTTGTGGAGGTTTTCGGTTTAAGGAATCAAAAATCAAAACTCACATGCCTTGACCGAGAATACCCCTTGACTAAGAACCCCCTTTGCCGAAGACACTTTAGACCGAAATCTCATTTGGACCAAGAACATGCAAGGCCGAGATCCCTTGGACGAAAATCAAGGTGATTTCGGTTGGATCTTAGACCAAAATCATGGAGATTTCAGTGAGGATAAGCCGAAATCATCAATTTAAAACAATGGCACTTTTTCCTATAAATAAACAATCCAATGCACATGTCACCTCATTCTTACCCCCATCTTATAGAAATTTGGCCGAAATCACCTTCATAATTCCCAATTCAATCTCCAAATCTCTCATACTTTTTCTCTCCAATTCATAAGAACATCTTCATAGCTTCATACAAATTCCTAAAAACAACAAACATTCTCAAGAACATCTTCAAACTTTTCCCCAAGAAACCAATTCCTCAAAGCAAATTCTTTGAATTGTTGTAAGTATTTGTAACGCCCGCGTTTCCAGGCTAGGCATTATCATTGATGTAATAGTCTAGGTTAACCCTTGTAACTCTTTTTGAAGTATTAATGATGAAATATTTGAGTATTATGTGAATTATGTGTTTATTCTCTTAATTATTATAATTTAATGAATTAAGAATAAAATAAGCATCAAATTTGAAGTGTGGTATAATCCCAATATCTTTGCATAAAGATGTAGTGATCGAAATAAGGATTCTGAAGATATAAAGAATGTCGGAATCCGAGTTATAACGAAGAAGTTACGACCTATCGAAGTTTCGCGATAGAACCGACAACGCTGAATGACGTAAAAAGTGAAATTTACGTTAGAGCAATATTTAGCCTTAGTGATCTAAACAAAAGTCGTAAAGTTTGTTAAACCGAGAGCGTGCATAAAAAGAACGCCCAAATCTGACTTTGTATGAGGAAGTTATGATTTTTCGAAGTTTCGACTTAGCAGTATGCAGCCCGAATACTCGATTTGAGATCGAGTGGTTTTTAGCCGAAACAATCTAAATGAGAATCGAAGGTCTCGTTAGTAGGAGTAAAACGATAAAAAGATAGGCGAAAACGGACGTCGAATAAAGAAGTTATGAATTTATAACGGAATTTTCTTGTCCCGGCCTACTAAAAATAAATAATAAAAATAAATTCAAAATTAGCCAACGGAGTCTAAACGAAAGTTGTATATCGTAGTCTCACCTACTTGTGGATATAAAAAACATCGAAAACGGAGTTCGTATGAGGAAGATATGAATTTTTGAAGTTTATTAAATATTTTCGATATTATATATATATATATATATATATATATATATATATATATATATATATATATATATATATATATATATATATATATATATATATATTCCGATATTATCCAAAAGGGGGGGGGGACTCAGCGACCTTATCGTGATTACGCCCAGCGTAATCTCAAGTTATGCCCAGTGTAATTCGACCTTCCAACCCCTATAAAGGGTGTTGAGGACAGCCGAGTAGTTTGCTCATTTCTTCCCTTTTTCTCGTGTTTTTGCATCGTTTTTCATGCAAGAATTATCCCGAAGCCCCAGTATCATTCCCGAGCCCCGAAGCAAGTCCCGAGGTCCCGAAGATCCCGAGAAGTAAGATTCCCGAGCCGAAGCTCTGCCCGCGAGGAGTCCGGTTTTTGTGAAGATCTTCCAGATCTGCCGAAGAATACTACTTTTACAAGCCGTAGTGCTGTCCGATCATCTTCTGATCAAGTGAGTGTGTAGTTACTTTCTTCTAACGCATAATTATGAAGTATTTTATACGAAATACGTGTTATGTGTATAATATTGTTGTTATATGTGTGAATGTATATTCATTCTCTTCTATCTCATAGATCTGATTTATTTTATATGAAATACGTGTTATGTGGGTGTGCCTCATCTGTTATGTGGAATATGTATTGAATGAAAATGCTATACAAGTTTTAAACTATGTATAAAAATATATATTTTTATCTATTAATATGTTGGGTAGAACATGGGTAGATACTTGGTGTGTAATAAACAGATGAGAGGCCTCGATGTTGTTGTTGTTGTTGATCTAGTTATTCAGCGGAGTATGGATAATGACCACAGACTCCTTCTAGATAGTCTTGTGGAACGCTAGCAGGTTTTTGTGAACGATGTGTTCAACGGTGTACTCTATCCCCGTCATGGTTGCCTTTAGGATATCTATTGTTGAGGAAACCCCTTAGCAGTAATGTCCGTCCCGATGAAAATCCTAGATTAGGTCCCTTGAGATAGATGTTGTTTTAGGGACGTAAAGTGAGGATAACGGGAATGGGTAATCGGGATAGTGATTGGTTGGTGAAATTAAATATAATTTATTTATTGTGGGTTGAAAACCCTATATGCTCACCAGGCTCCCAAGCCTGACCCACTCAGTTTTATTTGTATTACAGGAATTGGCGCAAGGGCGTAAGATGGATGAATCATCGAGTTGTTTTGTTTACAAGTCTCTATATGTATATATTTGTTGAATGACTTGTAATGTTATCGTTTATGCTTTATGGTCTGTATCGGAACATGACATCCTGAGTTTTGATTATATAATGAAAATGCATCTCTTGATGAAATGTTTTGATGAATATTATTTTATCATGTTTTGTTTTGGGAACAAATTCCGCAACACTTTTAAATCAAAAGGATTTACTCTGAAATTATTTTAAAAAGCATAAATGAAATCGGTCTTTTCTGGCCGTGATTTTGGGGATGTCACAATATTCCTTACATAATCTAGTGTTACACAACACTTTAATTACTAGTTCATCTAATTTACACATTTTATTATGTGTTTAAAACTATTAGGATACGACTATCTTCACGTGTTCTAAGTTAAACAACCTCGTCACTCACTTCGTTATCTAGCCATGAACACACTTGAGGTGAGTTCATACCCCTACATTTTCCACGATTTTCTATGTTTTAGGGGGGGGGGGGGGGATACAAGTAAAACACAAGAAAACTTATGTTAAAAATACAATATGATTACACATATTTTTACTACGATTTGTGCAAAAATGATAAAATACACGAAATAAATTATATCCAAATTCGTGAACATATACATGAAATATTTTGCTAAAATTACAAAGCTATGAAAAACGAGTATAAATACATTATGTTCACTAAAATAAACTATAATGAGAATAGTTTATAAGAACCTCACTTTTTATAACAAGTTGGGAAAAAAGGGTATGATTATATAAACATACATATATAATTATGTCATT